TGGTTGAAAGAAGTTCATAATACTAGTGGCAGAAATAAAAGAAGCGCCTTAATTCGACCAGTTTTGTCTATATTCCTTTTGTTTATCCAAAATTTACATATTTTTATAAAATTCTACCTCATATTACATATAGTTAACTGCATATAAATGGACCTTTCTCTGACCTCATGATTTTTTTTTAAACTTTATCGAGCCCTAACCGCCAAAATAATGTAAGCGACATTTTTTTATTTTTGATGCAGAAATATTCCAAAAGCATCTAGATGCATTTCAGAATCAAAACGGTTAAGGCTCGTTATAATATCAAAAATATGGTTAATTCCAAAATTTATTTAAAAAAAATTTAGTGCAATGTAAAACAAAAGTATGGGTACCAAATGAAATAATTTTTTTTTGGGTTCAAAAGGTGAATAGGAATTGAAAATGTCCCCTTAATCTCTTTTATTTTTTTAATAAATTAGTCCTTAACATATAATTTATTCAAAAATAAGAATTGAAAAATATCAAGTAAATTCAAGGATAAAATTATAAAAGAGTATTTTCAATATCTATTCGTCCCTTACGCACCAAAAAATGTAATGTGTTTTAACTCTACAGAATCTTCTCTTTCATTTTCCCCCAGTGTAAATTGCAAATCCCGAAAATCCCGGGATTCTTAAAAAGCCCGGGATAAACATTCCTAGTGCTGATGTTATAATGATGGGCTTGTCAAGGCGTCATTGGATTGATTGTTCATATTGTATGAATTCTTTTGCCGTCGCGGCCGATGCACAGTGGGCGAAATAGTAGATTGGCTTGTATAATTCAATTTTAAAGTTCTGATTCGTAATACCTTTAGCGATTCATAATACTGTTTTGTTCTATTCTGTGATGTGAGCTTTCAAACTTCGCATATATTTTTTTTAGCGTATGCAAAATTCTATTTTCCCGCCTTTTTGAAAAAATATCTGTTTTAGCTGAAAAAAGGTATTAATTCATTTTGTTTTGTTTATTTATAGTTAAAGGTAAGTGTTCAATAAAATAAATGTATGTGATATGTGCGTGCATATTTGACATTGAAAAATAGTTCCAAAAGTTTATCATAAACTTGACTTTTTTCTTTTAACATGCAATCGTTTCTTTTGGAGTGCAACTTGTCTTATTCGGGCTAGTTATGGTATTTTTGTAAGTTTGATTCGGTTCGATTATGAAATATCCAAAATAATCTTCTAATAAATACCTGGTACCCTACAATATGTCCCACGTCGTAGGATCTATGGCGGTTGTCAGACGAACCACTTTTTCCACAATGAACAAATTTGCGGCTATATAGCCGTGTCATGAAATCTGTAAAAGGTAATTAAATTTTTGTTGACCGTACAGTTAAACACGTAACTCATGCCTAAAATGGAAAAGTAACTGCAATCTGCAATTGCTGCTATGACGGCATTAGTGGACATCTAATTTACAGACAAGACTATAATGTTGTCGAGTTCCAATATAATTTGGAAGCATTCGTGTCTTAAACTGTATTTTGAAGGTCAATTAAATTTTGCGCCAGAAAGGAACAGCTGACGTTGTCCGTGCAGAGATTGAAAATAGTTAGGCTCAAATATCCGGATCGAACCAGCTAATTTGCAAATACGAGTTTACCATCAATTCCATTTAACCATGATGGATGGAAAAGCTTTTACAACGATTACCGAATAAACTTTACAAATGGAGCACATATTTCATGCACTAATTCTTTCGCCACATCCTCTAATTTAAACTTTGTCTAAGACTTTCAGCTGTCCAATCAAAACCGTTGTATTGATCTTCACTCTGAATAGTTTTGTTTAAATAATATATCATTATATCGTCACTAGACACGAACAAAGGCGCGAGCTCAAAAGTTGACCACGAAAAAAGGCGCTTAAAGAAAACTTCTGCGAAGAAAGACTCATAACATAGTTGACGGCGAAGAAAGACGCGTTAAAATATTTGACGGCGAAGAAGGACGCGTAAACTTTTTTTCGCAGTCAACTATGTTTGCGGGTGTAACAGAATGTAAATTCCCCAAAGATATTTAAGGAGTGATGCTGAAGTGACAGTCTTTGACCAAATATAAATCTATGATTACGCGTCTTTCTTCGCCGAAGTTTTTCTTAACCGCCTTTTTTCGTAAAATTTTTTTTACGCGTCTTTTTTCGCCGTCGAAACACTAGCGCGCCTTTATTCGTGTCTAGTGACGATATACCTATTATTGGAAAAAATTAAGTAAACCAAATATTTGTATATTTCTTCTAACATTCCACGCATATGTTTTTGGCCGAATATTCGCGAACGGGGCATTTTAATATATGTTTTTTTTTTTATTTTAGGGAAGCCTCGTCAGTTTTAAATTTGTCTTATTAGTAGCCAAACGCTATGAGATTGAAAAATTTAGGCATCTTAAGATAAGTAGTTAGATACCTGCGTTCTTGGTGCGAATGTGTTAAAAAGTGGCGTAAAAACAACAAAAATTATTTAGAAATCTACAACTTCGAAAATTTATGTAGTACTCTTGATTTAATTCCATCGCCGAATTTTCTTTTGTAACGCTCTTAGTTTACGACTTTTTAATTTAATTCCCCTAAATTGGATCTTGTGCCTACTGTGCGATGTTGAGATTTCGGATGGCCGGCTGCGCATCTGACCGAGAGCTACATTCATACATATGAATGTATGCACCCAGTCAGCCAAATACATATACGTAAATGGCAGAATTGCGGATGTTTCATACGTTTACTGATTATATTTCTAGAAGTCTTGGGCATGTTTATGTGTCCAGAAAGAGAAAAAGCTTGGGAAACGGTTACGCTTCTGCTGCTTTTCGGATAAAATGCTTTCTTGAAATGCGCTTTCCTTCTGAATTTCAAAGCTGCTTTTTCGTAGCTTTCTTGGCTTTGCCAATTATTTCCGTATGAATATATGAATATATGAAAATATTTTTAAGTACATAATTTTAACAACTTGCGTCAGATAGAAATTTAACCTAGGATCTTTGTTAAATATTAACATATTTCTCCAACTCAAACCATTATTTTCAAACGCTTTTCAAATACGAAATGGGCCCATTTTCGGATTTGTTCCTGATGCGAAAAATGAAGACAATTTGAAAAATTCTTTGCTGGTTGGGTGCATACAATATATTTGCGGCGTCGCTTTATTCGCTCGGCCGTGCGCCACCGTTATATTTTATTTACACACTCGACGCAACCCAGCAAAAAATCGATAATCGCTTTTAGTGGTAACGTGTTCTAGAAGGCATAGCGTTGTAAAGCCTTAGAATTTTTTCGCTTCTTTTAGGCATTGCCGGTAATGCAAAGTAGAATGTCCTACAATATTTTATTTATTTCGCTTCTTTGTTTCATTTCGGGGAATGCAAAGTAGTATGTCCTATAATATTTATTTTTTAATTCGCTTCTTTGCTTCATTTCCGGGAATGCAAAGTAGAATGTCCTACAATATTATATTTGTTTCGCTTCTTTGCTTCATTTCAGGGAATGTAAAGTAGAATGTCCTACAATATTTTTTTTTATTTCCCTTCTTTGCTTCATTTCGGGGAATGCAAAGTAGAATGCTGCATCGTAGTGAGCTGAAAGATAGAATGAATATCNTTTCTGTGGAAATTTGTCTCGCATAAAAATCATGTTTTGCTTTGTTCAATTTGCAGCGAAGTTGAAGTCAGTCAATGAAGTGAAGTACAAGAGTGAGGAAGTACGATTTTAAGCTTTATTAAATATGCATGTATGTACATACCGATTTTTAAGAAAATACAACTGAACTGATTTATAAAAATTCAATTTTAATCTTTTAAGACATTTTCTGATTTCAATTTAATATAACTAAGTATGCACTTATATAGGCATTCTACATTAGTTTCTCTGTAAGGCATTCTTTGTTCGCTTCTCTGGATTCTGTTTATCCATGCGTTCTCCCTTCGTTTTAAGGTAATGCTGCGGGTAAGGGCTTACCGCCAATGACATGCCCATGTTAAAATAAGGCCTTCTTGAAGCGAAAGGGTAAGCGATTCCCATCGCCTAGCTCGTTTCCACTTTCGTTTCTGTGGTAATCGTGTTTTTTGCTGGGAAGTAGCTCTCTGTAATGCTAAAGGTGAATCTTATAAGCATACAAATATTTTTCTTTTAATAATGAAACGATGGTTGAAGTAATGAAATTCTCCTTTCCAATGTGCTTTTATATTTTCATGTTTGCTTTATTTCGTCTTTTGCTATTGTTGAAGTGTTTGTGTTTTTATCCACCTATACTTTTCACTTGTGTTTCTTTTGGATGATTTTGTTTTTTTATGATTTCTATTTAGTATTGTTAGTTGTGTGAATATTCAACACGGACATAATTATTATTTTTTAATTATAAAATGGTTGTGGTATTCGTGATTATTGCAAAAAGATTTGTTTAGGATATGCTATCGTTTCGGTTGTTTTCGAACTTGCAACGACTAATGCTTGATTACCACCGAATATAAGATAACGATATTTTGAAAGAACCTTTGCTTTATAACATAAAACTTAACTGTTATATTTTGATTCGCGAAATTTTCCTTATACTTATTGCGCCCCGTTTGTGATTAATACGAGTGAAAGTTATTAAAAGCAGTGTGAAAATCAGTTTAGTGGCTAAAATGATTATCTATCTTCAAAATACTTTGAAGCTGTGTAAATTAATCATATCAGAATTTTGATAAATATTTAGTATTTTTATTGTAAAAATGATGCCTGTAAGTGAGACCAAAATCAAATATTTGCATACAAAATAAACTTAAAAAGTTTTCTATAAATAAATATATACAAAAATATACATACCTAAAAAATGAATACGTATAACGCCAAAGAGTTGAGATATTTAAAATGCTAAAAATGGTGTCAGTTATTTATATTATTTTTAAAATTCCTATAACTATTGTATACCAGTGATAAAGAATGAGATCTACGATTGTTATGAAATATCAATGACTTAGGAGCGCAATATCCCAAGATTAATCGCCGGTTTGTGGTTGTGATCGCGCCTGTTCCATATTTTGCGTATGCATTCCCGGGTTTGTAATGAGTTGAATAGCAACACTACATACGAGTATGCTTTTTATTGTATGCATAAGCACATTCCATATGTAACGAAAAGTGGTGTGTATATGTATACATACATTTGCATGTATGCTTTGACAATGTGCTGCAGAATGTGAGGATGATACAAGTGAGGCAAGAGTTCTGGCATGCTGAATTTGCCGCGAGGTCTAAACGTCAACATAAAGGTGGAAGCTACAGCAAAACTCTAAAAGATTTGCAATCCGATTGTGATATATGTGTACATAAAGTTACTGCCAGTAAAAATGGCCCCTCTCAAAAACAAAATGTATTCTGTTAATATTCCCAAAGTCTTTCATTTTAAATAATTTTTGTTACTTTTTATGCAAATTTGGTTCATATCTAGTACAAAAAAATATGAAAACCAAAATTCCAAACTTTGTACGACAACTAGGAAAATTCGATAAAGTTTCCAATAATTTTCAGGAAAAATTTCCAACTTTTTTATCAAATTTTTTGGAAACATTTTGGGTATACAATTTTGTAGCCTACTGAATTTTAGTAGAACAAAGTGCAAATGTTACAAATTACCTTTGATTTTTGGCATTTTTTATCTGTCCACTTTCTCCTATACGCAAGACCGTTTACAAAAAGCCTCTAAAATTAACGGTAACTTGTAGAAACTTCAAACTTGCATCTTATTGTACTAAAAGTCAGTAGGCTACAAAATTGCAAATTGATCGCCACCCAGTTTTAGAGCAGAGCGATCAAATTATTATTATTTGGGTACAAAGTTCAATCACGATTTATTTATGGTTTTAATTTAAATGATTTCACCTATGTTTATATGTATATTGAATATAGATTAAAATCTCATTATCTCATCTTTTGACATTAATGGAAATTTTAAAAATTTGAAGAATTGTCACATAATTCACATAAAATTACATGACCGCACAAAGTAAATACAATTTCGCATGGATTTATTTTATAGGCCTGTATGCAGCTCTCAAGAAAAGCAAAAACTCCATATAAAATGACACACAAGAAATGGCTAAGAAATTTTCTTGAGTCAAATTTCCTTAAGGCAGTACGCAGTTTTTAAGGAATTTACTACGCTTTCTACTACGGTTTTCTAAAGTTTTTTGTGAAAAAAGAGCACAAGGCAACCCGGGTTTGCAACAGAAATATATGCCCGTTCCATTATTTCTTGAGGATAGAGTGAGGCAACAGACTGTGAAGTATCAAAAATGTCAAAATTCCTTGGACACACACGCGAAATAATGGCAATTTTTTCTTGACCGTTTTCTTGAGAGCTGCATACAGGGCTTATAATTGATACAGATTTCGAGACTTCCGGAATTGGGAACTTTGTGAGAACCGCCAAAAATGTTTGCGTTCGAATTTGCTTTGGAAAATTCGATCAAGTCATCATCCAAGTCATCCTCAGTTTCAATGTCGAATTCGCCTCCTTCGTTTTATAAAGAAGTTTTCTCATCTAACAATAACTTCGAGGCCTTATAATCCTCTTCAGAGATTATAAACGAAAATAGAAGAAATTCCCCTCAATAGGACAACGTTTTCCTATATTATAGCTTCCTAAAGCCGGAGTGAAGACCAAAAGTTCATTCAATATTTTCCAAAAAGAAAACACACATAAATTCAGGATTTTTTAAAAAGTGGAATTAATAAATTAGTGCAGAGAGCGGCTCATTTAATACAAATTTATCACTGAAATTAATTCTTACATATCATCCATGAATAATATCTGCGGAAATATTGTCTGAATTCACTTCCATGGCCTAAAAATCTTCCGTGGAACTTATGACACGGATGTTATGTCGAAAAAGTGGCGTAGCCAGGGTGGGCGAGGGATTTGGGGAGATAGATCCCCCCTTCGTCATTGAAATGAAAATTTTTATTTTTGAATTAATAACACAATACTATTTTACCCTTCCGATTTATAATTTTTTTATTTCAGACTGATGACAAATTATCTTTTAATGAATATATAAAATTATCGGTTGGTGAATTTTTGCGAAATACACTAGGCCATTTTGCTTAGTTCCCCACAGTGTTGGGAAATAATCTATAATCTATACAAAAACTGTACTTTTTGACTGTAAATTGTATCGACTTTTTAATTTGCTCATATGCATACATGCATACATAGATTCCCTTCAACACCAATGCTTTGATGGTATTCACGGGAAAGTTTATGTAGGTACATTTACATATTTTACACTTTTAACATAAATGTCAAGGCAGATATTTTAAGATACACTTCTTAACAAACAAATTTTTTAAACTATTATGAATGGATAAAAGGGACATCTTCTTTGAATTCAGTACTAAAATTTGACATTTCAAGTGCTTATCAAAACTTTATACATGTTAACTAGATTGGCCATTTATCTTAAAATTATATAATTTTAATTATTTGTTTATAAAAATGCAGTTTACACTTAACAAAACCCGTATAAATCCAAGGTTTAGTCTTTGCGCAACATAAACAAAATCAACAAAATTTCGTAAAGCTTTTTTTTAAGAACATCTCTTTCTTAATTAACGATGACACTGGTTCTATATGAAGCTGATTTCAACATTTTGTTTTAATAAAATTTAGTATCGAAAATATTCTTTCAAAACTTGCCTAGGAATGTGATATAATGGTTCGTTCAAAACCTTTTTTCAAAACTTATAAACGCAAAAACGAGAACGCGAATACAAAAAGAGAATACAAAAATTTCCAGCAGTGAATTTTCAGATTTTTAAAACGGTAAAGTAATTTAAATTTAAATAAAGCACGAATACCTCATGGAATAAACGAGTAGATAAAAAATATATAACGGTAAAACTGGCACACACATAAATATATGAAAGAATGCACTCAGGCGACGCCTCTAGCCATTGTGTGTCACAAATTTAAGTTATCGATGGAAATTTTTTTTTTCCTACGCTCGAAAGAAGTGCATAGACGGACGGATGGACAGACAGTCGTCACCGCTTAGTCGATTTCTCTTTTCATTCTGATCATTTATGTATACATTTGTCTATATCTTTCTCGATTCGTTTTGCCTGTTACAAACAACCGTTATGTGAACAAAGTTATGTTGTGCACAAGTGCGCTCGGGTATAAAAAGGAGATTTATTATTTATTTTTTTTGGTGGAGGGGATTTTATATCCTAAATTTCCGAGTAGAAATAAAAATTTGTATCAACATTTACCTTTTAAAAATAATTAATATCTTATCTTCAAAACGTTTAAATTTTACATTATATTCTATAGCTACTTGCCAAAATCTTTATTTTTACATTAATAAAATTTTAGTGACCATATTTTAAAATTTTTTAGTGTTATGTCATCTGATTATTATACAATGTAGCTAGCCAGGATTACAGTTTTCTATATCGGATACGATTGTTTCTGATATAATTGAGACACTGAAATTACACATTTCGATATTGGTTTTGTCCATGTCTTTCAAGTAACTTGAAAACGGAATTTACTTTGGGGCCCATAGGCCTCATGACTTTCAGAGAAGAGAGTAGTATCCAATTCTAGTATATTTCGACAATGTCGTTGTTTCTTTGGGTAAAAATATTTAATTGTCAGGTTGTTAATATGGCGGGGAAAAAGTGACACGGGAACAACCTTCTTTTTTGTATAATTCTATGAACTAGAGGTTTACCCCGACGGGCTTTGCGGGGGCGGCGTGGTCAACTTCAAAAAGATTCAGCGGCGGCGGCGGCGGCGACGCCCGCGTGTCTGGCAACGCCGGCGCTATCGCCCATAAGGTGGATTCCAAAGAACAATGAGGCTACTAATCTTATCATGTCATCTCGTCAGCATCTGGTGCTGATCGATGGGCTAACAGAGGAAGGTCTGAGGTATGTACAGACATACATACATGGTAAAACCCTCCTAGGTTGTGACCACAACTTATGAATGCTAAAGTAATTTTCTCACAGCCCCAGAATAAAATAACTTACGCTTGTAAAAATTAGCAAACAAAGGTTTTGCTTTTTATTAAAAGTCTGTTTAAAAAATATTCAACTCTTTATGGCGGCCGCTGTGGTGTAGTGGTAAGTAGTGCGCGCTTCCACTCTTAAAGCCTGGTTAAAGCAACATCGCAATGTGGAAAAAAGACTTTTCCTTAACAGCGGTCGCCTCTCAGCAGACAATAGCAAATATCCGAGTGTATTTCTGCCATGGAAAATAGCTTCTCATAAAAACACAATCGGCGTTCGAAGTCGGCATAAAACTGTAAGTGTGTGACAATATCAAGGCGCACGCCACAAATCGCAGGAAAAGCTCGGCCAAGCACTTAAATATCTGTAAGCGTCAGTCTATTATTATTATTATTATTATAATGAAATGATGAATACACAAGGAAATCAATTTGTTTTTGTTTTATCTCAAATAATTGAGGAGGTGGATGCAATAAGGGCACTTCTGTTTAAACTGCTTTCTGAGATATTAGCGTTAAAGTTTTTGATGTGTCGTCAGATTTCCAGTGTTCGACCCTAATTTAACCATAATAAACGCATTCGATCAAAAAACATGTTTCCTATGTTTTTTCTCAGTTACGTTTATTTTTGGAAAAATAAAGGAGATGATATTCCTCTTCAGTTTCCCAAATTAGGTAAAACAAGTAAATAAGTTCGGGCGAAACCAAATTTTATATACCCGGCACAGATATCAAATATCGTCCTTCCAATTTTCGCTAAACTACCTAAAAGTCTATAAGTCTTATTTATTGTTAAGAGATTGTTGTAAGTATTAACCTGGAGTAAATGAGCGTCCTGAGTTATTAAAAAATCTGAGTTTTCGTATGTCCGAAATTTACCGTTATACGGGAAGCGGGTGTAGTTACAGTCCGATTTGAATAATTTTTAACGAATTGCTTTCCCGTACCAAGGTTATTAAGTGCACCGAGTTTGGTAGAAAATGATAAATCGGTTACCAAGATACACTTTTGTGGTAATAAGTAGGCTGCGCCCAAAATGTATT